TAGGGAAAATTAATAAATTAGTGTTTGTGAAGCACTTTGAAACTGATCTAACGTAGTTAAACCATAATTATGCTTTTCTTCTTTTTTTAGCTGCACTGCAAAATTAACAAAAAAGTAGTTCATTACATGAATGCTAAATATACATGATTAAACATACAAAGCAGTTGAAAACTGTGATGGTTTGGTATTATTTGAGCATTACAATTAATATTTTTAATTAGATTTAATTTTTTTTACATTTCAGATTTAATTACATTTTTTTTAGTAATTGTTACTATATACTTAGTGTCTTGATTCCCTCCAGTAAACATTAACTTAATCGCTCACCTATTATAGCTACTGGCATAACAAAGCATTAAATCATAGAGAATGGCATAAAAAATGTCTTAGCAGTGATCACCTATAGCATGTGTTTAAGTTCAACATTTGCTTTAATTGAATGCATTTAAGTGTATATTTTTATAGGAAGGTCAGGGCTATTATAGCAGAGCAACCTGTGTGTGTGTGTAATGCATTCGCTTTTTACCTTGAATGAGGTCCCATGGGCAACATCTGCTTGAAGGCAATATGTGGACCATTGAAATTTAGGGAGTTGACCATGAAACCCACTTTAGTGTTTATTTAGATTGAACTGCATATTTATACAACTTCTAGTCATTCTTTTAGGCAAACAAAGCATCTTTCCAATTCTCTTTTCCCATCGGAAACACACATGACTCAGTGTCTGGGGAAGGTTTTATCGGAGGAATGTCTCACTCCATCACGACACAAAACCATCGCATCATATTTTTGCTCACAACCAGTCTCACACTTAAAGTTGAAGGTCAAGGGTTCAGGTGATTTAGGGCTCACACATTACACACACTCAGATGCACACAAACACGCGCACATGTGCAGACACACGCACGGCAATTTTGCAAGCAGCCAAAAAACGGTAAAGGAAAAAAGATAAAACAAGAAAAACTTTGCACAAGGCTAAATGTCAATCCTGGTTGTTGGCAAATTCTATTTTTTTTTTAAATCTTTGTTTGATTTGATGTTGTTATACAGTATGTGGAGGCCAAGAATGAGTGTGGTGAATTGTGTTGATCACGATGGAATTGGATGAATGTTATGCCAAAAACATTTCCCACCAACTATTCCTGAAGAGTTCCCAACAATGGCAGCCTTTCAGGAGGAAGAATGGAGACCACAACTTCTTTTTTTTTTCTTTAAAGAACAATTATGCATTAGCATTTCAATAAACCCAATTCCATTTATTCCGAAAAACAATAGCTTGGATGCCAGCCCAAACTCCGCCCACATTTTTTGGTCGGGAAGTTCGGTCTGGACTCGATCCATTGAGGAGAAATTATGATCAGTCAAAAAATGATCGGGCCAATCAAATTGCCAGGGCGGGCTTTATACAGATGATCTGCAGGGACGTAATCCTCACGTTATCAAAGAGTGCTTGTCAAAGATGACTGCAGCTGGAGAATTGAGATCTATAGATTCCGCTGTCCCGTCTCTTGTAAAATAAATCGACAGCGCATTCATTTTAATAGACAAACAGAGAACTGCAATCAAGGCATTTGTCGATCGGAAAGATATTTTTGGCGTCCTTCCAACATGATTCGGGAAAAGTGTAACTTATTAGATAGCTCTGACGGTCGTTAAGAAGATGGGAAGTAATGAAAAGCCTGTGGTCGTTGTGGTTTCTCCTTTGGTGGCACTCATGGAGAAGTAAGTAAAAGAAGTAACACTCGTTATTTAACTTCTAAAATAAATAAAGTTAGGCTACGTTCTGTATATGAAAAATGCGCTATGCAAAGGAGTTGACTTATGCGTTGCTCTGATTGGTTGTAGGTCTGTCCGACTATCCAATTGAGTGCAGAGGGTTTTTTTTTTCCTGGTTCGGTTACGACACGCCTCATAATCAAAGCCCAACCGAGGAGTTTCAGACTCATATTCTCTCTTGAATATGAGTATGACGAAGTCAGGCTAGGAAAACACTACTGTTTTTTTTTTTTTTAAAAGGTTTTAAAATAAGTCTCTTATGTGCATCAAGGCTGCATTTATTTGACTAAAAATATAGTAAAAACAGTAATATAATATTATTGCAAAATAAACTAACTGCTTTGCATTGCAGTATCTATTAACATATAATGTATTCCTGTGATGGTAAAGCTTCAGTCTTTACTCCAAAGCATTCTAATATGCCAATTTGATGCTCAAGAAACATTTGTTATTATTATCAATTTTGAAAACAGTTGTGCTGCTTAACAGTTTTGTAAAAACTTTTTCTGAATTCTTTACGGTCCCTTTTGATTAATTTAATGTATCCTTAATGAAGTAAGAAGTTATTTCACCCAAAAATATATGTCTTTACTACCTTTCTGGGGTTTGAAAGTAGTAATTACATAGTCTATGGACGGACAGAATCTCTCAGATTTCATTATAAAGATCTTCTTTTGTGTTACGAAGATGAATGGAAGTCTTACGGGTTAATGACCTGACGGTGAGTAATTAATGACAGTATTTTCATTCGTGAGTGCGCTAACCCTTTAAAGGAGAACTCCAGTCAATTTTAACATTGAGATAATTTTTTTTTGTACATTTGGAGTGCTGTCAGTACAGACAAAACGTCAAAAATCGGTGTTACCTTCACTGTTTTATCCTCTTTTTAAAATTCGCACCGTTGACTTCAATGGGGCATGATCTAAACCTGCTTTTAGCCTCTTAACATCCTTGATTTGTCATTACGAGTGCACAGCCATGTGAGTGCTGTTATTAAGAGTGACCACGGTCAATCTGACTGCAGTAGATGTGAAAGATATTAATAAAAAAATATCTTAATTCAGCCAGCTCACATACCTGTATTTACTTCCTGTTTTCGGTGGAAGTCCACAGTAGTCGATTGTTGAGTTTGCGCGCTATCATTAGGAAAAGCAGGTTTAGATCTTGCCCCATTGAAGTCAACAGGGTGCAAATTTTAAAAAGACGATAACATGGTATAGGCAACACCGATTTTTGTTGTTTTTGTCTGTACTGACAGCCCTACAAAAAAAATGAGCTCAATGTTAAAATTGACCGGAGTTCACTTTTAAATTTGTTCAAATCCTAAAACTTTGATTTAAAATTAAATTCAAAGATTCCCATATTGTCAATATGCTCTCAGATTTTTTGGACCCCACTGTATTTCAAATATACATTAGGGTCATGAACCCCTACAATGGGCCAAAAGGGTGAAAAAGCTATGAGGAACAACAACACACAAGAATGCTAATCACAAACATACTGTAGGTTGAGAAAAGAACGCGAGGTGTTTTTCTAAAGTAGTTCCTTAAAATATGTTATTATGCTTTTATTTAGTGCAATTAATAAATGGGTACAATAGAAGATACAGCTCAGTTCTCAGAATACACAATAGATATGTGTACATGCACAAACACACACACTTGGACGGCAAAGCTGTAATGACTTGTAATGGAAGGCTATAATTGCAATGATTGCTGAATAACTGATGGGGCTCATTAATGCTTACAAGCCTCAGCTGGGGATCTCAACGTGTGTGTGTGTGTGTGTGTGTGTGTGTGTGTGTGCATTTATAGCATTCTGTGGCTACTGTAATAAAACATACTTTGGTAACATCGATTTCGATGGCCCTCTTTTTAGACATACTCTAAGTAAATTTGCAACTACAAGTCCAGTCAATATTAGTAGTATTTTATTTCTCCCTAACAGACATTATTGACTACACCTTTGCACCTAACCCAAAACTCAAAGTCTGCAACAATTTTGCATCAAGTTTTGCTTTGTTTGCTTCAAATCAACATCAATCACTTATGTGGTTCAGATAACATAATATTTACAGTTTCTGTTGATTAAACCGTTCCAATCTCTCTGTACATTAACTTACATTTTTGATTTCAATGAACTCAATTTTAAGCCTACCAGGTAACTTTACTTTTTTCTTACTATTTCACTTTTAGCGGTTAGAGTGTTGAGAAAAATACATCGCAGAGGACGCCAGCCTTCCTTGGTATATCAAACAATCATCGTAGATACGCAAATATGTGATTTTAGTTTGAACTGCTATCACTGACAATGTCAACTTGTAGAGTAGACATAGAGCCTGACCGATAAAGGATTTTGAAGGCCGATACCGATACAAATATTTTTGGGGTTTAAAATCCGATATATCGGCCGATATTTTATTTATTTATTTAAAACTGGACATGATAATCACACATTTTGTCATGCTTATTTGAGTTAAGAGAACTGATTTAGTTCAGTTAAGAGAACTGATGGGGATGTTCTTTTAATTGTTATTCAAGCAATGTATGTATCGTGACCAACTCAACGAGTGTTGCCAACAGGAACGGTGTAGATTGCCCTCTGGTGGACAAACTATACAACTCCAACACTCATGACATGGTTCAAACGCGTTTCGTCCATTTTTGAAATATTCATTTATCGGCCATTATAACTGCCGATACCGATAGTTTGGAAAATGCCTAATATCGGCCGATAATATCGGTCTGCCGATATATCGGTCTGGCTCTAAGACATATTGAATATTTGATTGGCAACAAATTTACCAAGCTACCATTCGAAGAGCAGCTAGAAATTAAAAATGAAGGAAGAATCCATGCCTAATTTGGATATAGACTACAGCAATCAGCTTCACTAAACAGCTGAATATGCTTTTTTTTAACACAGACATTTAAAAGGACAGAAGGAGGGATTTTTGCTTCAAGTTATAGGATAGGTGAATTAAAATAATATTTATAAATGTATATTTCTTTGCTGTATATGTTTTTTTTTTTTGGTCTAAAAAAACAAACAAACATTTTTTTTTTTATCTAAAAGTGTCCAAAAAAAGGCCATTTTAAAGGGATAGTGCACTTTGAAATTAATTTTTGGCATGTTTTAGCTTACCTCAAGGGCATCCAAGATGTAGGTGTCTTTGTTTCCGCAATAGTTTCGATTTTGATATTTTTAGGTCAAACCGTTCTTGTCTTTCAGTCATATAATGGAGGTATATGGGGTCCACCTCAAAGAGCATGCACAGAGAAGTCCAAATTAAACATGATTTAATGACTCATAAATGCAAGTACACATTGATGGCTTAAGACACGAAACGAGCGGTTTGTGTGAGAAAACGAACAGTATTTATATAGTTTTTACCTCGTGTAATCACAGCCACAATCAAGTGATCTGAGGGCGCGGGCGCTTCTATTGTTATAAAATAAATATAATTCCAGATAACCCAAACTTTTCACTATTTAGTTTATGGATCATGTTTACTTTTGAGAACATCCTCACATTTCCCCAAAGGCAGGTTTTGTCTGATGAGTAAAGCCGTGCTCAATATAATAGACATGAAAATCCTCTTAACGTGCCATTCCATACCAGATTTACAACACACACACACACACACACACACACTCTGAATCTGGAGTCTATTGTATTGTATGGCGTGTAAGGACGTAAATTAATGTCACAAATTTCCACCACAATAATGAATTGATGTTGTTTTGTTTTTTATCCACATGCCATGTGGATCTGACACTTAGCAACTGTCACGTTAGCTCTCAGGTCAAATCTTTTGTGGTTTAAGTGTGAATGGCAATGACAATCATCTTGGATTTGTTAGAAAGGTGGAGGAACACATGGTGGGATTTCCCCCGTATCTGTCAGTCTGTGTCCTGCATCTAAATTTAGGAATTTGAACCTGTGAGGAACCTGTGAGTGTGATTCCCAACATCCCAGAGACCTAATTTCTATCCCATGCACCTTACGTGTAAATCATCTGTCCCCCTTGCTATTGAATTTCAGTCTGACCTGCAGTCGTATATGTTTAGAGCTAGGTTTGGGATGCAATTCCACCTTGCTTACAGCTCATTATTGCTGTCATGCCTCGATGACATCATCGCCATGTGTTACCTCCACTAAGCTGGGTTTGGGGGTATTTTGGATTGGCTTTTTTTCAAAGCCGGTGGCATGTGCGGCACTTGCCACAATCCCATCAACAAACCTTCACATTTACAGCGTCTGGATTAGAATCAGGGCAAATTTGTTTAGCCTGGCTTTTCATCCAAAGACAAAAATAATGGCTTTGTTTATCATCAAATAGCTTTAAAGAGTTATAATAAGACATTTTGCATTAGAACACAATTATCCCAAGAATATACATACAGTATGTGACCTTTGTCCTCAATTTAACCCAGAAACAATCTAAACGAACTAGGAAAATCACTTTCTAGAAAGGTCACATCTTTCTAATGATACTGTCCACTACTGGTCAAAAGTCTGGAATCATTACATGTTTTTGAAATACAGTAAATCTCTTATTTTCACCAAGTTTTCACCAAGGCTGCATTTATTTGATAAAAAAAAATACAGTAAATATTGTAAAATATTATTTTAATCTAATTTTTTTTTCTTTTTTAAAACATTTTAAAATGTAATTTATTCCTGTGGTCAAAGCTGGATTTTTAACCTTCAGTGGATTCAGAAATCACTCTGATTTTCTGCTCAGGAAACATTTTTTATTATAATCAATGGCGATAATAATCCATCCATCCATCTTCCAAACCGCTGGTCCAACGTGGGTACAGCGTAATATCATACAGGTATAAATTCCTTTTTATTTTATTATTAAATCGTTTAATAGACCCTCATTACAGACTGAGATGTTGAACGTTTATTTATTTATTTATTTTAATTGATGTACATTTATAAAACTATACTTATATTATATTACCTTTGCATTAAATTACACAAAAGTAGTTAACTGCTGTGAGGGTGTTTCTAAAACAGCGTCTATGGGAGTGAATCTCTTGCTATTTTCATGAAAACACAATTGTGGAGTTTATGCAAGCTAGTTTCCATGACAGATTTCAAGATAAATCTTTTCATTATTACTGGAGCTGTCAGTTTGCTAAGTTTCAAGGATTATTTAACAGCACAAGCGATGCAAAAGCGACAGCTGGTCGCACTCAGTGTCCGAATTCACTACTTCAAGTGGACTATGGACTAATGTGACTAACTGGAGCGATTTTGGAAACACCCGAGGACATTATCAGTAACCAAAGAAACTAAAACTAAACAGGCAAGCAGGAACTAAAGGAAACAGAACGGAATATCAAAATAAGTCAATAGAACGGACCATAAACAAGACAATCGACATATTGTATATTGTATAAATATTGACATACTTCCAGCTCACAATGACAGAACACATCACACTTAGAAAAAAGGGTTCCTTGGGGTTCTATATGTGTAGCATAGGATTCTTTACTCAACTCCAAAGCAGCAAATATGCTCTACAATGACAAGAAATAACCCTTTTGGCACAAAGGTTCTTTATAGGCTATTATTCATTCATATATTACATTATTCTACAACATTTTGTAGTTGTAATTTAATTATTGTTTATTAAACTGATGTATTAACTTAATATTACATTTTAATCATGCTGATTTTTGGAGAAGAAAAACTGAAATGGCACTCTTCGTGTGATATTGATTAACTACATAAAATGATATAAATATATATGTTCTAACCCCCATTTCTTGTTCTGTATAGAACATTTTAGTGGTTCCAAATACGTAGCGCTGATAGAACCTTTTAAGGTTCTATATAAAATCTTTTCTTCTAAGAGTGTACCATACACCCAGCGCAATGCAGCGCTAGGCAAGTCTTTTGCTAGTTTCAGTCCGACGCAGTTATCATTTTCACGTCCTGCGCCATGTTGTTTAAATAGCAAACGCATTTGTGCGCTTTTGGGCCACTGGTCTGATAACGATGTGTGTTAAGCACATTGTTTGCGTGTTGCTATTTTGACTGCGCCATTGAACAGCTGAAACCAGTTATAAAATCAATAGTGCAATTTTATTTTTTATTTTTTTGTTATTTAAAGAGTGCGTTAGTAAAGTGAACCGATAGGCGGGTCCACAACATGCGCATGAGCAGATCCGTTTTCTCGCTAGAGAAACGTTCAGTTTTTTTTCGCTTGCAAATTCCGCCATGTAAATGGCGGATCCGCCATGGCGCGAGCGCAACTGGCTTTTGAAGGGAATGGGAGATTAGTTTATTCTCTGATTAGTTTATTCTAGATTAGTTTATTCTCCAAAACACACCCATTACTCGTTAAGAGAATTGGGACAACCCTTTTTGACCATTTTTCCCGTCTTTAAACTAGCAAAAGTGGAATTTGCGCCGTGCACTTTAGATCATTAAAATAGGGCCGTTCATGTCTACATCAAACACACAAACATAGCTTCAAAATTCCTCATTACGTCCAAAAGAAAAGAAACCCTGTTAGCAAATATACCCAAACTACAGTATATAAATGCGTTTGTGCGTTTTTCTTTCAGTAAAGCTAAGCACTGCAAGGACATATTTATAGCCATCTGCTATGTTAAATATTTTGTGATTCAGCAAAATGCTGCCTGCCCCAACAATAATTTATACTCTTTTGTTCTAGCTCTCTCTCTCTCACACACACACACACTCATCTGGCACAAGGCATATGCTGGTCCTTCAGCGTTGCCTATATTTAAAAGGCCATTGGGACTCTCTAGTTCTCTATTAATGTGGCCTATTGAGATTAGAGCGACGGTTGCCATTAATATCTGCACGTTTAGAGCTGCCAGTAACAGCAGGTCCTTCTCATTATCCAGACACACTCATTAGAGTCACTGCCCTCACGCTACAGAGCGGCCTTTGTGGTGAAATAGGTGCTGGTAAAAGTAAGTGTGTAGCTATAATAACTCCTCACCTGAGACCTGCAACGGCAGTGAATTGTGGGATGAAGAAAAAAATAAAACTTAGAGACAATAAATTTAACCCATTTCATTTTAGGTTTTAAAAGAGTCATGTAATGACTCATGAGGAATCAAACTTAACTGTTAAAACAAACTGTTCACTGTTTTTGGTTCAAGAAACCAATGTAGACCCGAAGAAGAACTGGCTAAACTCTACAAAAAGGTTCCATTGGTTATTGCATTAATTAAAATTAACTAACAATGAGTTTTACTTCTCTTTCTCAAGGGAAGGTCACTTCAAATATCATTTAACATCAACATTTTGTAAAAGTTAATGGTCTTTACGAATGAGTTTACGAATGCAGTTTGTTAAACAGGAAACCAACCCTAGATAACGAGTCAATCACAGCAAAATGTCCAAGGCGTGTACATGAAACACAGTGATACCTTTGTGCTAAAATAACATCTAGATAACATCTTCCCCGTCATGTTGGAGCCCCGAGAGATCAGATAGCAGGCAGATTTTATCTACAGTGAAGCTTTAACTATGAATCAGTGAATGGGAACAGAGAGGGAAGTGTGTTCGTTTTGGTTTGGACAAAACAAAAGTACAAGTACAGTACATGTTCAGAGATCGTCAGTGTGTGTTTGCAAGTTTGTAACTATGAAGATCTGAACTTAAGCATCTCACTCTCTCTGGGTATATATTCATTACAGCATACTAACTACTATTACTTCTGCATACTGTACAAAGTAAAGCATTTTCTGTATAGCATATTTAAATATACTTAAATTGAAAATAAATACATGTTTTTTTTTAAGAAATTGATACTTTAATTTAGCAAGGATGCTCAGTGACATTAATAATGCAGCAACATATTTGGTACTATGTATTTTGATAGTCCACTTTAGACATTCAACTAACTAAAAGTAACTTTGCCGCTACATGTCAACTATCTATCATTAGAGTATCAGTTGACTGTCTACTTAATATCTGCTCACACTTTATTTTGTTCGTCCCCCAACAGATATATTCTACTGACTATAAGTAACTTACTAACTACAAGCCAACTTGTTCTCCTAACCTGAACCCTAACACCTAACCCTAACCTAACAGTCTACTGACAGTCTACAACAGCCTACTTATACTCTAATTACAGTTAGTTGACATGTAGCTGAAAAGTTACTTAGTAGAATGTCTAAAGTGACTATCGAAATAAAGTGTAACCAAATATTTCTATTTCAAATGGTTTTCATGAAAAAATATTAAATTACTATATTATATAAAGTACTGTATTTTTTAACAAATAAATGCAGCATTGTTGAGCACAAGAAGCATAAACTTCTTTGAAAAACAAACAAACCAAAAACGTCTAAAACTCCAAAACTTTGACTGGTAGTGTCTAAGACTTTAATGCCTGCTGAAACAGCCTTTTCTACTCTTTTTCTCTTTGGATGAACAGCATGCAGAAAACTGGTTAAGTAAATTGCTGCTTATTTACAGTTAATCAACTGTCTAAAGCAAGGCCTTTCTATCTCTATCTTTATTCGCCCTTCTCCTAACTCATTTGGTCCCTCCCTCCGCATCTTCTTTACACAATCTTCCCTCTTCCAGGCTCCAGATGGGGAGATAAGAGGAGACAACAGAGGTTTGCTTTGAGTTTTCCATAAATGTGTGTTTGTATGAGAGAGAGAGAGAGAGAGAGAGAGAGAGAGAGAGAGAGAGAGAGAGAGAGAGAGAGAGAGAGAGAGAGAGAGAGAGAGAGAGAGAGAGAGAGAGAGAGAACAAAAGGGATAGGAAGGACAAGACGACGTGGGGATTTTACAATGTTCATTTATCTTTATGGGCTTGGGGCAGGAAATTTCCTTTAATGACATGTGTCTAGGCCAGGTCTCTCATTTGCTTCTAGAAAAGTGATATCTCAGGGTCACTGTCCTGTGCTCAGACGGTGCACAACAACAGGACACACGTGCTCTTTACCACTTAAAACTGTAAGTGTATGTTAATGACAGGCTGTGATCCACACAATGATGAATAGCCGTCAGCATATGTCAGATGGAAAACAGGTAGTCGGGAGCTCAGAGTGGCTGTGTGCCATTTGCAATACTGCCAGAGTCCATTGGAAAGGTTGAGCAGCATTTTGACTTTGCAGTGTCTGAGTCACTATTCTGCTGTATTTGTAGTATAACACATTTATGTGGTGGCCAAGAATAGGTCTAAAGTTGGAACAAGAGAATCCACCACCTTAAACACATTAGGGTAGCATTAGGGTAACTATTATGGAAATAACATGCTTAAAAGAACATACTTAAAGAGATAAGTTCACCCCCCCAAAAAAAAAAAATTAGCCTATGATTTACTCACCCTAAAGCCATCCTAGGTGTATTAAGATATTGTTCTTTCAGATGAATACAATCGGAGTCGTATTGAAAAAAAAATGGCTTGGCTCTTCCAAGCTTTATAATGGCAGTGAATGGCTGTATGTCTTTGGAAGTCCATCAAAGTACATCTATTCACGATAAAAGTGCTCCACACGGCTCATGGGGGTTAATAAAGGTCTTCTGAAGTAAAGCGATGCGTTCGTGTAAGAAAAATATCTATATTAAAACTTTATCGACTAAAATAACTACAAGTAGCTTCTGCCAGATTGGCGTACGCACAGTAACCCTTGAACTTGACGCACAACATAATGACGATCCTGGTTGCCCAGCCCTGTTTGTTTGAACCGCGAGAGGCATCAACTGCCGTCAAGTTCAAGTGTTACTCTTTTGGCGTAAATCAATGCGATGCATACACTTCAGAAGGCCTTAATTAACCCCCATGAGCCGTGTGAAGCACTTTAATCATGAATAGAAGCACTTTGATGGACTTCCAAACTAAAGACATACAGCCCATTCACTGCTATTATCAAGCTTGGAAGAGCCAGGACATTTTTTAATATAAAAAATTATTTCTGAAAAGAAGAATGTCATATAGGATGGCTACAGGGTGTCCCTTTAAGTAACTGTACTGTAATGTTTTCAGACACTTGCATGTTATTTACTAAATTAAATCATTGTTTAAATGTATATTAAAGGCAATTAGCTGAATTTTTTTTTTTACCCACTTAAGTAAGTAAATCTAAATGCATAATTTCATAATTACTTCTATGGTCTAATATACTGCCAAGCATTTATGTTAAACTAAAATATACATTTCTATTGAAACTTGTAGGCCTATGTCATGTGTTTAAACATAGAAAGTTGCAATTTGGTACATTTAAAGGAAAACACACTACAATTATAATTAAAATCAAGTTCTTTACATGTGATTTATGTGGGTCAACACCTCAAATTAATAAAACAAATTATTTAAAATGATTTGAATTGTGCACATTAAAAGCATGCTGATTTTATCCGACTTTTCAGTATTAAGTGAAATGTATGTATAAAATCTGTATTTCTCAGCGCTAACTAATTGTTACTAATTGTAACATAATCAAACATAACTAATTGTTGAATAGAATAGACACTAATTATATTAGAATTAAAAAGAACTAACGGTAATTGTTTATTGTTTTCAAACCGGTTTCCTGAAAGCTCCCCTTGTCTTTCATTGGTCAGACAAACATTTAATCCCGCCCCCAGCTATGCTATTGGTTGTTTGCAAAATATGTTTTTTTTTGTTTCTCAAAATGTTCAATGTATTAAAGAAGAATAGGTGCATACACAATTTCTTAAAAACATTTTCAGACATGCAGAGCAATGATCTGATAGTGCCAGAGTTAAAATGTAACTTGCAAATGACTTACCAGACACTTTTGGGGCCAGTTGTGAAATAAGGTATTGGAGAGTTAACTGGAAGAAAGAAAAACAAAGTAATCAGAGCATTTTGTGAATATAGAAATAAAGAACAAGACTAAAGAGGAGAGACACAGTTCTCTGCTAATATCTAAGCATGCGATAAGGAAAATAACATGTCCCACATTATCTAAACATCATAAAGAGGTTTGGGTTCAAAGGTCAAAATGTTTAAGGGTAAGGCTGGAATGTTCTCTTCAAAACCCTATTCATTGTTGTATTGTCATTATCATACCTCTCTCTCCTTTCCTTTTAGTCTCTGCCAAACCACAAAAGAGGACTGACCCTGAAATTGACTCAGTGCTGATATAACACTGCGTTTGATGTGTGTGTACTCTGTTTTAACCGGTATGGCATAACACAAGCCCTGAGATCAAAGGCGCTGACGCTCCGTTCCTGTCCTCTCATTACTGCCACCTGGGTTGGGATAGACCGGTCTTCTGTGCCCATAAAGTCAATGCCAGGCATGCCAGGTTTGGATGCCTTTGCATGTATGAAATGACACCAATTGAAAGGTCGTTTATTTTCTTGATCTACATCCAGTGTCTCTACAATCCTCATATTTGGATGCTTCGGTGTTTCATTGACACGGAGGTAGTGTTACAAAAACACAAGCTATCAGCTATCCGTCATCTTTACTCTAAAGCATCAGCACGGGTGACCTGGATTCTGTGTCTCATCTTTACAAACGCCTTTGATCACAACTCATAGTCATAAGACGACACTATAATATATAAAACACGCCTGTAATAAGAGATAACAGGCCACTGTCAGCTCTTGGATTAGGCTTTTGGGATCATCCAAAAGTCAAGTCAACGCACAACTCATCCAATAACTCAGTATGAAAATATAGTGGGTCTCATGCACTAATAACAAAGTTATTTCCGAAACGGTTTTCAAAATAAATATAAAATGAGGTGCACACACAATTAAATTTGGGCAAATACATTTTAGTTTAGACTACACTAAAAAAATAATAATGTGGCAATATTGTTAATATGAAAATATGGCAATTTAAAAGACTGTATTACTTTTATTTAATAAATAACTTTTATTTTTTTTAAAAACCGTTACAGTTCAAAGCTACTCATGAAGTGAAATCAACACATTTAATGACATATCCTCTATGTAATGTTATTTATGATATTTAATATTAAAGTTATAATATACTAAGAGTTCAACCTAATGAGGATAATGATCTCGGTTTCTTGAAAAAAACATTAGTGCTGGGTTCAGACTACACAATATCACAATAGTCGCTGAGTCAGATTATGTGATTTTAACCACTGAATTGTTTTTGTGTCCTGAAAGAGAAACACGTAAGACTACTTGTTGCTTCTCGACCAATCATCTTTAACGATGTGCATGATATCATCGAGAAGGCGGAACTAGTGAATGACTTCCGGAAACAAGAGCGTAAACAAACAATGGCTACTGAAATGGCGTGTTAGCTTAATGCTAATTCCAGTCCTCACTGGGTTGCTGATGCACCTCCCTCATCGTTCACCACGTTGTGGTAGTCTCTCGAGGAAACATAATAATAACAATAGTATTGTTGTTATACATAGACTGTAAAAAAAGATGGACGACGCCCCTTCGCTCTTTTCCATCGGAGAGAACTGAAGCCGCCAGTGTCTCGATATGACACTGACATCTTGGAACTTGAGTCTGCGCACTTGCGTGTTTCGGGACCAGTCATGCGCAGTCGTGAGCAGGAAGTAAAGCCGCGAAATCAAGGCCGCGCCCTCATTCTCGCTGAATCAAACGCACACGCACTTTCATTAAGTGTCCTCTGTCTGCTTCGTTCTTCTCCAATGATGTCTTCTGATTGCAGAACCTCGTTAAAATAAGGTCAATACAACTACTAACTACATAATCAACATTATTAAAAAAAGTCTGCAGAGAACCTGTCAATCACAGCTGTCAATCATGATGTCAGAGCACCGTTTTTATCATCACAGAACTAACTAAAAACAAATTTATTTTAAAAACGAACACTTGAAATTACATCAACGTGATAGAAACTACAGTAAATGACAGAAACTATCTTTGGAAAAAGCATATGTGAAATGTAATTTAATTGTTTAGTCGGTCTCGCGTCCCATTGAATAACATGGGGAGGCGGGGTTTATGAGCTATACTAGGACCGGTCACAGGGGGGCGATCGAGACGTTTTGGCTTCAGTTTTGAGGGCTTGTGCGGCACGCTTGTTGTTATAGCTCCAATAACCTGTCCTCCATTGCATAACTGCTTCTTCCACATAGCAAGCAGCACCAATACTGTTTCGCTTTCATTTCGCCATGTTTGAAAGCTGTGTATGGAAGAGCTGTGCTACTTTTTGTCAATGTCACAGATCTGGCACAACTCGTGGAATACCACAGATGTAGCTTCGGTTGTTGTACACTATGGCACACTATACGAGATAAAATGATCGGGCATTGTCATTTACAAATCAACAACAACCTACGTCAAATGGATAGAGCCAATATTGGGCTGGTATTGTGTAGTCTGAACCTGGCCATAATCCTTCTATAAGTACTTGTAGGTTGTTGGAGACCATGCAGTCTTGTTTGAGTTGCAGTTATTTAAGATTGCATCTTCACGCAACTCTTTAAATCTACCTCGTCATTACATCTCTTTCAGATCCTGTATTTGAAATTGACCCATTTCAGACTCTAAAGCGTCACTTTATGCTGAGACAGGATTCACATGGGTGACTTTTAGTATTTGCGTACCACATATGCTCGTCAGTGGGCATGAGGGGATGCCAGTTTCAGAGAAATGTGCAGATGTTAACCTTAACAAACACTGAGAAAAAACACACTCAGAAAACCACATCCCTGCAAGCTGTTCCAAAACCTAGTGAGCTGCCTTGTTGTTTACTGCTAACTGCTAACCCAGCTAAGACTTCTCTTTCACCAAAAATCCTGTGAGGTTTAAACTCCACCTAATAGATTTTCCCTTGTCTGTCTTTCTCTCATTTGTTTTAAATAATCGCCTAATTAATGTACCCATAACGCAAAGCTGTTAATGTCCATAAGCTAGGCTAATCTGCCTGCCTAACCCTACCTGTTAAGGAAACACTGTAAATGATTTACAAACTGTAGACAACTCAACAAAATGTTTTTTTTTTTTTTTTTTTTTAAATCAAATTGCTCAAATTTCTCACATGAAGTGCACAGGAGTTTGACATTAGCATGTTGCTAAGCTAACAATAGCTATTTTCTGGAATTCTTGGATGGAAACGTAATGTGTATAAATTCAAAACGATGGGAACACTAAAATGCTTGGATATCCAAATATCTAAGAAGGTGGCTGGCTACTTTTTGGAACAGCCATTGATTTCAGATGCCTATCATACCTTAAAATGCTGTCTAGTTTCACTGTGTCCCACCCTCCCACATTCTCCTACACCTCCACCCAAAAACCGTCCATCAATCAATGGTGTCGTTGTTTTGTCCACACAGCACTCTGAGAACTGATTTTGTTCTCATCACTTCTCTTTGATCTAAAATCCTGTGAGGTTTAGGCTCCTTCACCTAATAGATTCTCCCTTATTTGTCTTTCGCTCGTTCGTTTTTATTCAGAGCTTAATCACCCACGTACAACGTGTCCCATAATGCAAAGCTGTTATTGTCCATAAGCTAAGCTAATCTGCCTGGCGTCTGAGTTGTTTTGTGGGGGTGTGGGAGTCCAGGCTCTCAGGGTGTGGAGATGTAGCAGGAGGTGTGTTTTAGGGTGTGACTTAAGCAGACTGTTCCTGCAGGGAACAGATCATTCAACGCAGGCTTAATGGAAAATCATATACCTACATTTTTGGAAAACTTCAAAAATGTATGTATACATACACTTCACTGCAGTTACCAGCTAAAATTACCACTAGTAAACACCATCAAACACATCTCCTGATCACATATTATTACAGGAGCAGAATATCAATTAATAAAAACTTAATATTTTCACATAGTTACTTTGATATGACTTTAAAACACTTTTACCATTGTGCATGATTTGTAAACTAGAAGAGAGTGGGTCACAACCTAACAACATTTTGGTTTTGGCTCAATTATTTAAAAAAATTATTAAGTTAGAATCAACTTTTTTTTTACACAAGCAACATACACATCTCTGCAACAAATGAACACTTAAAGTTTTATTCTAGGATCTACTATTTTTGTACATTTGTTTTGGATAAACTAAAATCCCTTTTAGTGCCACTCACTGGACATTTCACTTTGAAAGTGTCGCGAAATGTTCCAGAGCGATGTAATATCATTTTGCAGAAATGTCTCCGCAAGCACGTTTTTTCAATGAGCCGGAGTTGAGATCCTGCTATCAGCCGCTAATGGAGCCTGAGACAACTCTGGCTAATGCTCACAGAATCTTAAGGTAGACAGGGTCAAGGACGCACATTTTTCATCACAACCAATTACACCCCCATCTCATTGTCTCTGTGTCCCGACCCGCTTCACATTCAAGTGGTTGGGAATTCCTTTTACAAGAAACAGAGCAGCATTTGATCTGCATGGCCTCAACAGGCACTCTCATTGTGTCTTGAAATAGTGCAAAAATTGAGAAAAAGACCTTAAAAATCCCCACCAATGTGAACTTGGCCTCATCTGGATCTGAAGTGAGGGGTGGCTATTCATTGGACGGCTTGGCAACCGAAACAGAGCGACAATCTTGACCTTCGTGTTTTTCTGGAATTCCAAACATTCGACTGCCGTCTCTTTCTGTCTCTATTTTTCTCAATCTGTTTTTTGTTTCTATTTCTCCCTCCATCTCTTTTCTCTGAGAGTCATGTTCGGGCATTTCAGGGGAGCCTTCAATTAGCCTTCGACCCAGGACCTTTGGCCTGTAATTATAAAAACAGTGAGAAGAGCTACGGTGCTCGGCTGGAGGTTTGAATGAACATGCAGATGTGTGGACAGAGAGGGGAGCAGTGAAGGGGATTGTATTTCAGCAAGATGACTTTGCTAAGTGTGAAAACCACAGGA